TATATTAACTAAAACTGCTCGGCCATTAGCTTAGACTTATTATTGACTAGCTCATTATTGACTAAAAAACTCTAGACCTATTAGCTAAAGATTGATGCCTCAACATTACAGAGGAACTGTAGATGACTGTCCAGGCAGCCAGCTGTCTCTGTCATTTCCAGAATTTTGGAAGTTGCTTACAATGCATTTCCTGTTTACTTAGGTAATATTATATCCTTCTGAGGTCTTTGATGTAGTTAAAGACTAGATAGTTACAATTTTCCTTGGTTATGATAAAAGATAAATTAGGTATGAAACCTTAAACTTACAAATACAGGATAAAATATTTCCTTTAATTTTGCCAAATACAAAATAGACTAGATATTGCAACTATAATTCTTGCTTGATAACTGTTTGTTATATATAATTTTACTATATTAAAGCTAAAACCTTCCTTTTTGATTAGATAGAAAAGGGGAAATGCTGTGGGATGTTTTTCTGTATGCTGTGAATATATGTGTTCCCATTGGTTAATAAATAAGCTGCTTTGGCCTATGGCAAGGCAGCATAGAGGCAGGTAGGAAATCCAAGGAGAGAGACAGGAAAGAGAAAGGTGGAGTCTAGAAGACACCAGCTGCTGCTGAAGGAACAACATGCCAGTAGACTGGTAAGCCACAGAACACGTGGCAAAACATAGATTAATAGAAATGGGCTAATTTAAGATATGAGCTAGCTAGCAAGATGCCTGCCATAGGCCATGCAACTGGTAATTAATATAAGCCTCTGAGTAATTATTTTATAAGCGGCTGTGGGACTGCGGACTAGGTGGGACCAGAGAAACATGGGACCGCGGGGCCAGGTAGGACTGGAAAACTTTCCGACTATAGCACATGTGTTAAGAATTGAAATGCCTGTACAATGCTCCTCAATCAATAAAATCTCAGTTGTGAAAAAAAAGAATGATGAACAAACTTGCCAATATATTTGAAACTTAGGTGAAACTAATAAATTCCTAGAAATATTATTTATTTATAGATTTATTATTGGTACATTAATTATCATAATGGGTTTCATTATGAAATTTTCATATATGTACCTGTCTTTAGATCATAGTACCTGTCTTTAGATCATAATTTGCTTCCCCTTTATACTTTCTTATTCCCCTCCCAACTTCCTCTGATCTCTTCCCAAGGAGGAACTTACACTTCCATGTTGTGTGTATTGTGTTCACATGTGTGTGTGTGTGTGTGTGTGTGTGTGTGTGTGTGTGTGTGTAACCCAATGTGCTTAGTTAGGTTTAGTTAGGTTTGCTTACAGGAACATGAGTGAGGATTTGCTTAATGGAGCATGGGCACCTGACCAGTGATTGTACCACTGAAGAAAATGTCTCCCCTCCCATCAACCAGAAATTACATATAACCCCATGAGTTCCCCTCATTCCATGACAGGATACTGATAAGCCCAAATTGGTGAAATCTTATACAGGAAATCACAGATGCTGTGAGTTAAGAGTGCAAAGACCATACCACGCCCTAAGTCACGTTCCACACAACTTCTCCCCAACTTCCTCTGGCTCTTACATTCTTTCACCCCTTTTATAGTGATACTCCCTGAGCCTTTTAGGGGGTGATATAGATGCTCTGTTTACAGCTGAGCATCCGACATTCACTTATTCCTAGCATGTTGATTCAGTTACCTCTGACCACTGCAAAGAGAAGCTTCTCTGACCAAAGCTGACAGCAATTGTAATCCTCTGCTAGACATAAAATAGTTACTTAGAAGGTGATTTGATAGACACATCATATCCATTCAGCAAAACAATAGTAGCTTCATCAGATGGCCCATGATCTCACGTGTGTGTGTGTGTGTGTGTGTGTGTGTGTGTGTGTGTGTGTGTGTATGTGTGTGTGTGTGCAGGTGCGCCTTTCTGTGCTGGCATGTGTGGAGACCTACAGTTGACCCTGGAATGTCTTTCCTCCATCAGTTCTCCAGCTTATTTTTTTAAGATAGACTCTAAACCCAAAGATCAGAGTTTCATCTAGATTGTCTGGATAGCAGACACCCAAGAGCTCACACTTCCACCCCTGCTACTGGATTACAGGCATGAGCCATTCTATTAGCTTTACATGAGTTCTGAGGACAGGACTTGGGTCCTCATGCCCATGCAGCAAGCACTTTCCCACTGAGCCATTTCCCCAACCCCACAGGTGGTCTTCAACAGGGTTCTTTAATGTTTTGAGCTCTTTAGAGACTGTTGAATATTAATCCTCTGTTGGAGTACATCTGGCAAAGATATTTCCCCAGTTCTCCACTGGGTTGTCTATTCTCTTTGCTTTTTAATTCCATGTGGTCTCATTTGTAAATTGCTGCCCTTACTTATTCAGCAATTGCAGTCCTGTTCAGAAAGTCTTTACCTACACCTATATCTTGGAGTGTTTTCCCTGCCTTTCCTCCAGCAGTCTCAGAGGTCTTTGATCCACTTGGTGTTAATTATTGTGTGGGCTGAGAAATAAGGAACTGGTTTCATTCTCAGCACATCCAGTTTTCCTAACACCCTAAAGGCTGTCTTCTCTCCAGGGAATACTTTTGGCATCCTTGTCAAAAAAGCAGGTGGCTGTAGTTGCCTGGACTTATAGCTGGGTCCTCTATTCTATCCTGTTGATATCCCTGTCTGATTTTGTGCCAGTGCCATGCTGTTTTTATTACTATGGCTCTGCAGTATAATTTGAAGTCAGGTACAGTGATCCCTCCAGCACTGTTCTTTTTTGCTCCATATTGCCTTGGCTACACAGGGTCTTTTATGTGTCTATATAAATTTTAAGATTCTTTTCTTTCTATGGAAAATAGTGTTAGGTATTTTTGACAGGAATTAGGCTGAATCTGTAGACTGCTTTTCATAGGGTACACATGGACACATACACACATACAGCTTTAAAAACACAACTTTTTAAAACTGACTAAAGAAGGACTGCAAAGTATGAATGGTTCTGTAACTGATAGTGAAATTTAATTAGAATCCTCCCACATAGAAAACACAGGGCTCAACTACTTTTGTGTGGTTCTTTTAAACCCTTAAGAAATAAAGAACTGTAATGACTAATAATAACTCAACTGAACACCTAGAAGACAAGCCTCCAGACACACCTGTGAGGGACTGTCTAGGTTAGCCTCTGAGATTGTCTGTGAGGGGTTATCATGATTATGTTAATTGATGGGAAGGCCTACCTGTGGTGATAGATTGTGTACCCTAATAAACTTTGCCTGAAGATCAGAGAACAGAACAAGGCACTAGATTAAACATAGAGGTCAGGCAGTAGTGGCACACACCTTTGATCCCAGTACTAGGAAGCACACACGCCTTTAATCCCAGGAAATGATGGCTGGGCAGAGAAAGGTATATAAGGCGTGAGGAGACAGGAACTAAAGGCTTTCCCGCAGAAGCGTCCCTTTCAGCTAGAGGCTTTTTCAGCTGAGGAAGCTCATTTGACTAGAGGCCTGTTGCCTGAAGCTCTTTCAGGCTGAGGAGTTTGTGAAGTAAGAGGTGGTGGCTGTGGCTTGCTCCGCTTCTCTGATCTTCAGGCAAAGTTTATTAAGGTACACAATGTATCACCACACCTGCCCATCGTGAGCAGCGCCATTCTTCCTGGACTGTATAAAATGCAGAAAAGTGAGCTGAGTGCAGGTGTGCATGAGTTAGCTCACGGCTCTCTGCTCTCGACTATGGATGTAATGTGACCCGCTGCTGGAACTGAGAGTCAGATAAACATTTGTCCTTTAAGTTGCTTAGGTCAAGTTATTCTATCACAGCAACAGGAAACATAACTAGGACAATAATCCAATTCTATTCTATGTTTTACAAGAAGACCCCCAACTCATTCCAGGTCAATATACCCTAAATAGCAAAATTAAGAGAATAAGCACAGAAAGGCTGATCTGGACAAATTCTCTTATGAAAACAATTGCAAAAATCAGGAACAAATTTTAGCAAATTGCATACATTGCACGTGTGTGTGTGTGTGTGTGTGTGTGTGTGTGTGTGTGTGTGTGCATTCAATTTCTGTGCGTGTGGAGGCAAGAGACCAATCTCTGATGTCATTCCTCAGGAGTCATCTACCTCATTGGCTTTTTTTTTTTTTTAAGTTAAGGTCCCTCATTGAGATCTGGAATGTCTTGGCTGTTATGAGGCCATGACCAAAAGCAACTTGAGGAGAAAAGGGTTTATTTCATCCTACAGTTTATAGTCCATCATATAGGGAACTCAAAGCAGAAGCTCAGGACAGGATCATGGAGGCAGAACTGAAGCAGAGGCCATAGAGGAACACTGCTTACTGGCTTGTTCCCCATGGCTTCATCATTGGTTTCTTATACAATCCAGGGCCACCTTACCCAGGGGTCATGCCCCCTGAGTAGGCTGAGTCTTCCTGCATCAGTCATTAACCAAGCAAATGTCCCAGAGACCTGCCTATAGGCAATATGATGGAGGTATTTTCTCAGTTGAGGTTCCTCTTCGCAGGTGACTTTAGTTTGTGTCAAGTTCACACACACACACACACACACACACACACACACACACACACACACCAGAACACAGGACTCGCTGACTAGGCTGGGTTGGCTGGCTAATGGGTCCAAGGAATTAATCTGTCTCCACATTCCCAAGCATGCCACCACCCTAGATTTTATGTGGCTGTTGGGGATGGAACTCAAGACTCATGCTTCACAACAAGCACTTAACCAACTCCCCAGACCCCATGCAGAAAAAAAATTTCAATGTGTTTACCACAAGTATGAATGCAGATGAATTAATAAAGTCAAAACTGAATAATATACTGTACTTACAGACTCAAGAAATACATGTTCAATCATCTTATAAATGTAAACCCATTTGAATTTTAAAACAATCTCTCTAAAAAATAAGAGACAGAGCTTGAAATGTCACATGTATAGCAATTAGTTTCTGGCATAGACCATAAAACACAAAACTAATTTAAAAAAAAAAAAAAACAGGAGCACAGTCTGACCTTCTCAGGATGTCATTTGCCTGAGTGAGAGAAATGTGGATTCCCAATGATTTCACGGCATCAATTACTTCTGAAGCATCTAGTATTCCTTTAAAAAGTGAAAAATACAAAGATAAGTATCTGAAAAGATGACATAGCAAAATATGTTTAGAATGCAACTATATTTGATTTAAAAGTCTGTGTTTGGTGGGTCTTTACTCCCAAATTCATAACTCAAAGCCTAAGAACTCCAAAAGGTTGGCACCAAGTTTACATTCAGTAGAAAAGTCTCTTTAAATTGAAACAAGATAAGTTTTACTTAGTTATTTATCTAATTAAATGTGAACACTCATATTTCAGGACAGAAGTATTTATGAATATAATAGCTCATGGCCCAGACAAATCACTTAGGATATTAGATATCACAGGCACACTGCATTACTCTAAACTCCAGTTTCTAAATTTCAAATCATATCACATCACATCACATCACAACACATTTGACTATTATACCTACCAAAAAGAACTGAAAAAGTTGTGCTAAAGACCTGATTCAGGGGACAAGAATAAAGGACTGTTTATAGAGCAAGCTTCCAAAGATCCAACACCCCTAGAGAACCAAGCTCTTTGAACAGAAACATGTACTGTGTTAAAGAATTCAAATGATATGTGAATGTATATATATACATATATATAATTGAATTATATATGTATATATCATATATAATTAAATATGTGTGTATATTTATACATATATATAACGAAAATTTCCCTCTTGCTGAGCAGGCCTTAAGTCCAATAAGAGAGCTGTTGGTTTTTACCAAGGTATGTATGTGTATGTATATATATATGCCTACTATACAGTTCACTTTCATGTTGCTAGATGTTGTGAAGGGAAAATTTTAAAAATCCATATTCTCCTCAAACTCTAAAACACAAATATAACACGTATCATTTTCCAAATCCAAAAATAAAGTCAGATTCTTTTCTTTTTACTTTTATTATATCTTTCTCTATTTTTTAAGACTGTAATGGGATTACATCATTTCCCCCTTCCTTATCCTCCTTCCAGCCCTTCCCATATACCCTCCCCCTGCTCTCTCAAATGACTTCTTTTTAATTGTTGTGATATGTGTGTGTATATCAATATGTTTATATATGTATATATTCTTAAATATGTAAATACACCCTGATTAGTCCACATAGTGTTACTTGTATGTACATGTTTTAAGGCTCATCATTTGATCCTGGATAACCAAGTGGCATGCCCTTCCCTGGGGAAGACTATTTATCTTGCTCTCAGAATTCCTTAGCTGCCTGTCGCTCTTTGCCTGAGGTTGAAGTTTCTTGAGCTTTCCTCCTTCCACATTAGTACATCTATTGGAGTCATCCTTGTTCAGGTCTTGTTTAGGCAGCCATGTTGGTGAGACTCAGTAGGTGTAACTTTCTGCCCCTCTTCAATAATGACCCCTGAACCTTCAGTGCAGGAGTTGTGCTGGAGATGAAATCAGTTGGAACTTGGCTCCACAGCTCTGCATTTTGATCAGTTGTGATCTTCTAGAATGGTCTCCATCTGTTGCAAAGAGAAATGTCCTTGATGAGGAGTGAAGACCGCACTTACTGTGGGCATAAGGACAAATACTTATAAAGTAGGTAGGGATTGTGCTGCTTTGGTAAGTGGCTGTTGTAGGTTCTCCTCCAGGATCCACGACTTCACTAGCCCTGGGTAATTGGCTAGGTTTCCAGTACCAGCCATGATTTCCCTCTTGTTGAGCAAGCCATAAGTCCAATAAGAGAGCTGTTGGTTACTGCCAAGGTATGTGTGTCACTACCGTACCCTCAGGGTTATTGTACCATGCTGGCCACTGTCGTGGATCCTAGGCATGTCCAAGTGCCACAGTGTGTATGTGGAGGTGAAAAGACAACTTTCGAGAATCAGTTCTCTTCTTCCAGTGTGGGACCAGGGACCAAACTCAGGTTGTTAGGTTCGCACAGCAAGCGCCTTTCTCCCAGAACCATCTCACTGGTCCTGGTAAACCGTGAATGCATGTATCACTCTTATACCAACTTTACTGTTGCCTGGTTAAAAAATACATCAAAAAACAACCATAAATTCAGTCATACTTTTCATTTGTATAAACCATTTATAGAAATTATGTATGAGAAACTATATACATGTGAGGCATTACTAATCCATCAACAAAGACACTTTTTCATACAGAGTTCTCAATTTTTCTTTATAAGAATCAAATGTCTCAAGCTCCAGACAAGGCAGTTTCCTGGCCTACAAACCTTGTTTCTTCAAATGATAAGCTCTAATCCTTACTTAAGGAATTGCAAATATTATGCTCATCTGTTAAATTTATTTAATTGACCATCTGCTATGTAAATCAACATCTTCACTAGGGTTACTACTGCTACAATGAAGCACCATGATCAAAAAGCAACTTGGGAAGGAAAGGGTTTATTTCACCCACAGTTCCCTGTAAGAGCTCATCAAAAAACAGTGGGGGCAGGAACTCAAGCAGGGCAGGAACCTGGAGGCAGGAGCTGATGCAGAGGCCATGGAATGGTGCTGCTTACTGGCTTGCTCTCCTTGGCTCACTCAGCCTGCTTTCTTATACAACCCAGGACCAGCAGCCCAGGGATGGCACCACAGGCCCTCCCCCATCAATCACTAATTAAGAAAATGCCCATCAGGCTTGCCTACAGCTTGATCATACAGAAGCATTTTTCTCAGTTGAGGTTCCTCCCTCTCAGATGACTTTAGTTTGTGTCAAGTTGAGATATTATCTATCACAATCACTATACTAAATGTAATCTAATTCAAAGACTGATAAACTCCCCTAAGGGCTTGGCAAATTTATATGAGAGTATTAATATTTTTTAAATATTTTGCATTAGAAACTCCAGTAGTACAATCAGTTAGCACATGGTACTTCTGTTATGTTAGTTGAAAGATTACAAGCAAAATACAACAGAAGGGTGAATAAGAGAGCGTCAAAAATGAAGTATTGTAAAGGATGAACAAGACACTACCAAAAACATAAAACAGTTCCATAAAAGGAGTAGTATGAGCAAAGTGTGGTTATTTATTTCACAAAGATCAATTTCAGACTCACACAGTATTAAAAAGTCATGATAATTCATGTGTTGGCAAGGGGTAGTGACTCAGGGGAGCATGAAAAGGGCTTTACGATGCTAGTGATGTTCTGCTTCTTAATCTGGAAGCTGTTTTCAAGTTGCATATTTACCTTATAAAAATGGAGTTTACAATTATAGTTTGTAATTCATTAAAATTATAACTTGTCCATTTTACTGAATATATTATACCAATAAGCATCTCTCTTCATGCAGTCTCTCCAACTGAGTAGGTGGGCTTCTTCCCTAGATGCTCAAGAGGCAGCCCATCAAGACCATAAGCCCTGTGTACAAGTCTTATTAACTTTGCTCACACCTACAAAACCGAAGAAAGTTAAATGACCAGTTCACTAAGACACGGGCCCACACAAGAACAAAAATCCTCAAAGCTGTGATTCACTGGGATGGCCACTGTAAAGCAAAAATACTTAGCCATCCTGAGTTTTTGGTCTCCTCATCTGAAAACATGGCTCCCATGAAGATAGTGTGAGATAAAAAATAAGATACAGAAAAATGCCTTGATACATAGTATATAGGAGAATATAATAAAAAGTAGTTCATTTCTGTTTCCTCAATCCCCAAAAAGCTCCATGCAAGAAAGAACACTGGTGCTGAAATTATGCTTACTTTATTTACACATTTGCAACTCTGTTTTTTGACCATATGAACTGAACAGAGCAGGAATTCTGAGAAATTTGGGTGAGAAAGTCCAAAAGATCAGTTCACAGTAGGACTTGAATGCCTCCAGCTAGTGAGTCTGAGAGTACATCAGCCCTTGTGCACCCGTCTGCCCCCACAAACTGACATACAGAGTCTGGAAAGGACTTAATCCTGTCTACTATGAATGCTTCACTCACAAGCACACGGTTAACTGAAGACCAGAGGAGGAAAAGTCAGATGCAGTGAGCCAGGGCCAGTAATTAGACTGTGGGGAAAGCACTGGCTCCAGGATCGATGGGAAAATGTTGGAACACAGTGTTGAACTCTTGAACACAAGGGGTCTATGAAATAAGGGTTTATCGAGCTATATTAAATGACATTCAAAAGGCGAAAGAATCAATCCTGGTACAAATCCTCTGAAGTACCAGCACAAAGTCAGACATCAGTTGAGGGGGAAATATCTTCTAGACCTAAAGAACCAGGGTGTTATATGATGAAATTTTGTAAAAAAGAATTACAAAACCTACAGATAAAGGACTGAGACCATGTGAAATGTCAAGAGACCTGGGGTAAGAGGTTAGGCCATAAAGAAAAGTTCCTACTACTCTTGACTAGTTAGTTGGTTCTAAAACAAAACGTGATGTGGTCTTGGTGTGTGATCTTCCAGCACACAAGAAAAGAATGTGCCGTTTTCTTCTTCGCTGATTTCACTTGACTCCATGGATTACAATGACCACCTTTATATCTTTATCTCCATTCTGTGACCTATAACTTAACTTAGAACATTCCAGAATTCTCTTATCACTAGTAAGTACCCTCTCCTAGACACCTTGCAAGCACTTTGCAGACTCAGAGGAAAGTGGTTCCATGTACATACAAACTGAAAAGGATGTACCTTAAGACTCTACTATCCTGGTATCAGATATAAAACAGAGGGGAGAGTATATTAATTTTTATAAAACTTTAGTGGCAAAGTACCCAAAGCTAGAAGGTTTAATTCACAACTCTGAAATCAAGGTGTAAGCAGCACTCTGGACCTTCTGATAGTTCCAGGGTAGGATCTGTTCTCTGTCTCTCTCCTAGTCTCAAGCTTTCATTGGCATGTAGATGTAGCATTACAAGTCTGTCAGTCTTGGCATCACCACCATGATCATCTTTTATGAGAGCACCATTCAATAACAGAATAAAACCTCATCTGAATACCCTAAACTGATTACACATACAAAGATCATGTTCTCAAATAAGGCCCCTTTCTGGTGTGCTGCAGGCTAAGACCTCAGCATATCTTTCTGAAGAGACACAACTCAG